TAAAAATTGAATGAGTTACAAGCCCCGCAAGGAAGCGTGTCAAATCATACCGGTTCCAAAACCGAAAACCGAACCCGGACCCGGAACCGGTAGAACCGCCGGGCTGGTTCGGTTCTTGATTTTGGCTGAAGCCGGTCCCGGTTCGGGTCCGGGTCGGTCCGATTCGGTCCGTTTGCTCATGCGTAGTATAAAATTAGTTACAAACAAAGCTCTGAAAAACCGAAAGTTTTTTTTTTTTTTTTTTTTTTTTTTTTTTTTGAAAGCTTTTAAAAGGTGTGTCTCAAACACATTCTAAAACATTTTGTTGTAACTTGTAAGATATATATTAGTATGGAATAAAAGTAGCAATTTTAACGATACAAATATTTTACATTCACTATGTTTCAAGAAAATATGTAATTTTTAGAGCAAATCGCATGAATAATTTGTATTAAACTATATTGGACAATGTATAAGAGAAACAACATATACACCTCTATACATTAAGGAAACAACTAATAATGATGGTCCATTGTTGAAAGTAAAATACATCAATCACACTGATCAAATCATTGAGAATACAAATTATACGACTCAAGTGTCAAAATTCTAAAATCAGAATGACCAAGACACCTTTTCCTTCTTCATAAACGACCCAACTTCACCTTCACATTTACGTTTTTGTTTCTTAAAATATGAATGAAATATTCAACATCTCATTTGACGATCAATAGGAGTAAATTACATGCAAAAAAACATGAACTATATATATGGTGAAACCACATCAAAAAGACTCATAAGATTTTGGCAACATCTCTCATTAATCCCTTGTTAGCATTACAAAAATCCATGTACTCTTGATACGAAATAAACCCATCTCCATCTGTATCAATTTCACCCATCATACGTAGTACTTCATCTCCTGACACAGAGCCGAGTGCCTTCAAAGCTTCTCCAAGCTCGGTTGAAGAGATCTGACCATCTCCATTTGTATCAAACCGCTTGAAGATTCGATCAAGGTGAGCCTGGTCATCCTCAGCCATTTTATCTGGTTAATTTATTTGTGGTTGTTTCGTTCTTTTTTCTTTGTTAAAAGATTAAGGAAAATATGGCTTTATAAATTGGTTGTATAGAACAAAGATTGTGGTTGGCCTTAGAGTTCGGAGTGTAAACAAAGAATGCATCATTAAACTGTCCGAGAAAAAAGGGTTAAAGATGGTTTCTTGGTTTCTCCACCTTTGATGCATGTTTTCAAGCATAATCTAAAATTGTTTTCTAATTTTTGTACTTTATTTCTTTTGAGGAAATACGGAATAGTTTATTCTTATACTTTGTCCTAAATACAAATAAATAAATAAATAAATAATATTTTTGGATTGTCTTAACACATGATAACATTATCTTTGTCATTATTTTTCTATATAAATTTATAAATGCTTAGTCAACCTTCTAATAACTGTAACTACAATATACTAACCGACTTTTAGTCCACAAGGTTTTTATTTTTGCTTTTATTAAGGTTATATATATATATATATATATATATATATATATATATATATATATATA